TAATTATATGTTATACCTATTTTATAGACTATATAATATACTTATACAATTATACAATTCATTATACGATATACCAGACATGCATAAAGCATATTAAAACAATCATAAAGTATATTATTCTTAAACTTTGTGGTCCCTACTAAAAACAAAAATATCCTAGTGATCCTTGGTCAAAAAAAGTTAGGAACCACTGCTGTAAAGGCTAACTGATTATAGATTAAATAAGAAATCAACCTCATATGTTATGAGAGGAGAAAGATATGTTTGTAAAATTTAACATATATTTGAAACAAAATGTGTAAAGATGTCTCTAAAATTTGAATCTATACGGTTTCTGGAGCAAAAATTATTGCAGGCAATTCAGGTAATTTTTATGAACCAAATGTGCCTCACCCACTGGACGAGAATTAATTATAACGACAACCAAATCTTCTCTATTACATTAAATTTATCAATAATTTTTGGCATGCAGATGATCTAACTGAAAATTTAAGAACACCTATTTATGTGACTGCTAACTGTAACCATAATTTATCATTTTTAGTGCATAAGTGAGAAATTAAAATGGTGATATCAGATGTAGGCTCTCACAATAAAAAATTTGTTCAAATTCGTAAGTATAAATTCCTTTATCTACAAAATGTATATATCATTTTATATATTTTTCCATAAATATTTAGCTTTCTGAAAAAAGTAATATACTGCGAATTATACACATACATTGTGACCGAAAAGCTTCCGGAAATTTTAAATAAAACGCAAAATTCTTAATCTTCATCAATATTTATTTTATCTCCTTCAAAATATGCTCCATTAGAAGCGATACACAAATGCCAACGTTTCTTCCAATCATCAAAACATTTTTTATAGGCGCTTTCCGGTATGGCTTTGAGTTCCCTCTGCGAATTCTGTTTTACGTCTTCTATGGATTCAAAACGCGTTCCTCTGAGTGGTAATTTGAGTTTGGGAAACAGGAAAAAGTCACACGGTGCAAGATCAGGTGAATACGGTGGCTGTTCGATGGTATTTATTGAATGTTTGGCCTTAAAATCGTTGATAATGTTGGCTCGGTGCGAGGGAGCATTATCGTCATGAAAAATCCATGAATTATCCTTCCACAATTGAGGCCGTAGCGCAGTCTCACGACCGATGCCTAGCTCTCGTGCTATCTCTCTAACACTCACATGAGGATTTTGGAACACGATTTCCTTTGCCTTTTCAATGTTTTCGTCGGTGGTAGAGGTCGAAGGTCGTCCAGAACGCGGCATGTCTTCGACGGTCGTACGACCGTCCTGAAAGGCTTTGTACCACTCATAAACTTGAGTTTTCGATAAAACTGATTCCCCATAAGCCTTTTGTAGCATTCGCAACGATTCTGCACACGAAATTTCGTTCGAAACACAAAATTTGATGCAAACTCTTTGTTCAATATTTTTTTCCATTGTTTTTTTCGCAACGCACTACTGAGGTGAACTGGTTTCAACAGCTGCCGTAAACGAACTGTCTGACAGATCGCGCTCATTTTTGGCATAGTAATTAAGGAAAGTGCTGCCAAACTACATAAACTTAAAATATCGAAAAATATACAGCGCGCGAATTTTAAATGAGAACCTCCGAAAACTTTTCGGTCACAATGTAGTTCATACTTTCAATTAAGCTATTGGTAATGACATGCAGACTTGAGCCCACTCGCAATTAAGCTGGATTCACATCTTCTCGAATTCGTGTAGATTTCCGTATTTCATAAAAATAAGCCATTCAATGGAACATACATAAGTATATGCAAAGTATTAGTGACATTTTTAAATATACACTTGTATTGTATTTCACAGCTTAACCTGTCTTTAGAAATTAAATCCTTACGCTGCATCTCCTCCAAGTCATGTGCACTCGTCTCCTCCAAGACATGTGCACGTATGAAGTAAAGTATCTGTGAAACATTTTGTGAGCCATGAAGAATCTGCTTAGGACCACCGTGAAAAGCTCAACGCTTTCAATAACATAACAAGTAAGGCTTTAAACATACTCGTAATAAGAAGACCAGTTAAAGGCGTTATGCCATAACAAAATCTGCCTCAGCTTGGCATCCTTGGTTGGCTGGATATTTTGTTTTTTTGCTGATTTTTGTTAAGAAATTAATTGCCTGTGCGCCACATGCGTGTGACAGATACATTTTCTTCATCGTGTTAAGCGGTTCAGGCATTGTTGTTTATTTTTGTTATTTTTCAAAAACAAAAATGGATTTGGTAAATAATTTTATTACAAAAATAAAATAAAGAAAAAATCACATTTCTATATTCATACATATAATAAGCTTAAAATGATGACAATAAAAATAAAATAAAATAAAATAAAATAAAATAATATTCTGATAAACATCTTTGAAGAATTGTAGCTGTTTGCGAATTTCTTCAGAATTTTCGAATTTTTTTAAGTCCATTGAGAATTTATTGAATTCTTCTCGAATAAACTGGAATTATCGTCACATTGTAGTGATAAATTAGACAATCTAAATTCTTGCAATTATCGATATTATTCAAATGCGATTTTTATCTTTTTTTCTCAGTAATGATAACAATTCATACACAGTGACAACTTTCATTTTACTAGTAAACATAAAATTAAATATACATTGTTTTGAAAAAAAATATCATTAAATTATAATCTATAGTTTCTTTTATAGATAGAAAATTTCTACAGATACCAATGTAACAATTTTTCATTAAAATTTACCATAAAATTATAATTTATTAATAAAGAATAAATTAACAACAACAAATATATGATGTATTATGATGTATGTTATGATGTATATTATTTTCGAACTTTAAGTTCATCTATTATTTATATATACCTAAGATAACTAACAAATGATTTAGCACAAAAACCAATAAATTGCAAACTGAAAACTTATTTAAAAAATATCTTAACAACGACTAATATAAAATACAACAAACCAGATGGCTAAAAGAAAGACATACAAGTATACAAAAATTATTGCGGTATAAATATCAGATCGAATTCCTTTGTGAAAAAATTTGGAAAGGAGGCTACGCACTAGTTTACAAAGTCAGATAGTGTTCATTCGACCCGCATCATAATTCAAAACTATAGTTGCAAAAAGGAGAATGTCTTTTATAGATCTCGAAAAAAATGTTTAACAGAGAGTCAATGAATCCTTAGAGTTCTGTAAAATCGAGAGACACACCATTAAAACCATAAATTGATTGATAGATTTCTCAATCCTTTATACTTTTAAATTACCCTCTCGCTAAAGTACAGAATATCTTAGTTCAAATTATTTAACGTTGGGAAGTCAGCCGTCACTTCGTTGTTTTGATGTCCATGTCCCGATACCCATCTCAAACTCGTAATTGTTATATAGCTACTATTGATGAGCAATACATAGTTGCCGAGTATACCTAAATAAATTCTGACAGTATTTAAAGTCAGTATTGTCACTTTTTTATTATTATTAAATAATAGGCTATAATTGCTGTGAATGCAGATTTTTATATCGTTTCTGCTAAGGTTAAGGATAGCGTCAACTTTGATGTGTTCAGGATCAGTGAATCTTCTTGACTGCCGCATGCCTGTTTGATCTCTCCAGTGTTCAAGTAGATTTTCTTTCTCCCATTCACATAATAGGTTATTTGTGAAGCTACTTGTTACCCCGCAGAAAAGCTTTGGATCAATTAAAGGAGTACGTACAGCCTTCTTTGCTAGGGGGTTCTATTTTATTGCCCTCATACCCTTCATGTCCCGGTACCAACATAAGAGTAACATAGTTCCTCGATGCTAAGGTAATAAGAAGTTGAAAGCATTCCCAGACCAACTTTGTTTGAAATGTAGAGTTTGCTAAAGATTTTAGAGCTGCTTGGATCTTTACCATCTTTATGATATCAACATGGTCAACATATTTTCATTTACATTCACAAAGATCCAAAGGTTTTGTTAATGTGAAATAATAGATAGATAGATAGATAGATAGATAAATAGATAGATAGATAGATAGATAGATAGATAGATAGATAGATAGATAGATAGATAGATAGATAGATAGATAGATAGATAGATAGATAGATAGATAGATAGATAGATAGATAGATAGATAGATAGATAGATAGATAGATAGATAGATAGATAGATAGATAGATAGATAGATAGATAGATAGATAGATAGATAGATAGATAGATAGATAGATAGATAGATAGATAGATAGATAGATAGATAGATAGATAGATAGATAGATAGATAGATAGATAGATAGATAGATAGATAGATAGATAGATAGATAGATAGATAGATAGATAGATAGATAGATAGATAGATAGATAGATAGATAGATAGATAGATAGATAGATAGATAGATAGGTATATAGGTATATAGATACCACAGATAGATACATAAATAGATACAGTTATTAATAATTAAAATGGCTTTATGCCATTAATATCCTGAATTAAACTAAATTGTTTTCGCTATTTAAAATAATTGCTAGTATTTTCAAATTAATCATCTAACAAATTTAAATTAAATTCTGAAGTTGGAATAATAATTAAAAATTATTTTAAAAAAAAAGTCGTCTCCATCTCCTCCTAACTGTGAAAAGTATAGCCTTCTCAACATGATGTTGGCTATTTATTTAAAATGTCATTGCTCAGGCCAGAAACGCACCTCCCGTAGGGATTTTAGCATTTTGATTGCAAACTAGTTCAATTGCGAATTGTTTGTCTGCACGCATGCGCAACTCGTTGAAAAGTTGCTCCTAATGTGGAGCCGCTACTCAGTCAAGCAATGCGTAAGTGCCTGCGTGATATGGAATATGCAACGTGCGTTGATTACTTTTTCTACTTTTCAATATAAAATAGGCACTTCATGTGTCATTAATCAATGTTTACATTTTATGCAAATGTCATAGAAGATAATTTATTACGCATTTTTGTTTAGATATGCTTTTATTATAATTTTTTAAACTTTCATATAATTTATTTGCAGCTCTCACTGGTAAATCTGGCTACAACAGACACAACAGGACGTTCCATACGTTTGGAGTTAAGAAAATATTGTGCTCCAGGTCAGTTCGAGTTTTGGACCTGTATGAATCGAACACTGGAAGGTATAGTTTTTATACTTATATTTTTATATAACAAAAATCTTGTCCAAATGTTTTTCTCACAGTATTTCCATATTATTAATTCCTTGACTAAAAACGAAACTTATCTTTTAAATTTATCTTCATAAATTACTTTTCAAATAACAATTGGGATTCATTTACCGGTGATGATTTTACAAGGGCAGCTTAACTATTTGGCAACAACTTACACATGTATAGATCTAGAGATCCCTAATGATCATTGCAAGAATAAACACTTAACTATAACACAATAGGCCAATTAGACCTAAGTGAATCCACTAGGGATCGCCGGTATAACCTAACAATTAACTGATATTATTATACTTCGGTATAAAACATGCTTTAATATACCATATATACCATTATATAAATAAAAACTTATAATTTTCAATGCTCTAAGGTAAAGATTTTAGTAACAAGAAATTACATTGAAATCAAAATTTTAATTGCCTGAATTTTATTTATAAATAAAACAAAACGTAATTGCTTTTCAATCTTATCAACATAAAATCACCATCAAATCAAAATCCTCCACTGCACTCATTTAAATTTATAAATTCAATAATAAAAGTATTTAAAAAGTTTCTTTTGAAGTGCATATCCATCCAACTCATTGATCTATTTTTTAGTTTCTTTTCGGTTTTCCAAGTACTTCATTTGATATCGACATAATTTTGCCAAGTGCTTTAAATGCAAAATAGTGATTTAAATACGCACTCAGTCATATGAGCCAACATGTGGCCATGCATTGGCAGCATTCCAGTTGAGGCGTACTAGCACTACGTCAACTTCAACCATTCTGAATAAACTCTGTATGCCTAATAATTATCACATTCGTGTACTTAAAACATAAAAGAACGATAAGAAAAAAATCTATCTTCAATGGCATGGAATATCGTTGCGTTTAAATATTTTACGTACAAAGTCGTTGACACATCATCCACTTTATAGGAAATACCAAGAACAAAGTGCCATTACACAGACTCAAAGAAAGATCAAAGAGTTTAAATGCTCTGATTTATATGAGACTAGAAATATTATTTTTGGCGGATTTGAATTATTTACTAGACAGTTTATAATTAAATTATAATGAACTCTTTATAAAATATTATCAAATGTATAATTAATATTATACTAAATAAAATTTAAGGAACTTATGTTTATAATTATTTTGATGATTATATTGAACGAAACATAAACATAAATATTGATCCACTTAAAGTCCAAATTCTGTCCAAGCCTTTTTCGATACGAGCACCTAGCTTTCTTCTCTGGAATTCTATTTTTTGATTGTTTTACTTTCAAATCAAGCACAATCTAAAAATCACATAAGAATTATTAAAGAAAAGCTTTGCAACAGTAGAACTGTTTTAGAGTGGGATCATAGACTCAAAGCACTATGTATTAAAATTACCACACTGTTATCATTGTACAAATTTCCCATATAAACTACAAATTACTTCTAACTTTTACAACTTCATAATGGCCATGCGTCCATATTTTGCCTAATATCAGTTTATTACTCTATATAGGCTGTATCTCGATTACAATGCTTTACTTTTACTTTAACAATTTATTTTTATTATATAAATAAGTCCAATTTAAAAAAAATGATTTCGGAAGAATTTTATTAATAGTTAGATTTAAACATAATAGTACTATGAAGCGGAGCACTGCGATTATAGTTGATCTTTTGTGCTTCAACAGACCCTAAACGAACAGAAAACATTTCGCCTTCCTAATGAAAGTCAGAATGTCAGCTGTTGAGGACCTCTTAATGCCAGAAGGGGAAAGCAGTTTTCGATCCAATGACCTTCTCCTAGCCCACATCAAGGCTGGGCACTCACAGAGAATGTGAATGGAAGTCTCGTCTACTTCTAAGCAGAGTTGACAATCTGTCTCTTAGGACAGACCCGTTTTGTTAAAGTGATAACGCAATCCCTGGTGACTCATTAAATATTCTACCAGCAACTTCAACACTGTTCTGCTGAAGAAGGATACCTTACCATAACTGTAGGGATGAACCAACTCTTTAGTAAGGTAGCTCTATGTTGCGTATAGAGCGGATAACTACAAGTGTTAACTATTGTTAAACCGTGGAAACTCTTTTCCAAATTTTTTCTTTTACACTATTTTATGTAGAGTTTTCTAAATATAAACTTTATTTATACTTTTGATTATATTAGTTTTTAAAAAATTAAATGCGTAAACCGTTGTATGTTTAAACAAAACTGGCAGTGCTATGAAACGTTATCCTGTTGTTCAAAAGAGTTACATATCTGCAGCAGGAGTAGTTTAAAAAATAAGGACTCATCTGGAACGAAATACGCTTACAATAAAAATTAAAGGTTGAAGGTTGTGGCGAATGTCTACCAAAGATTTTAATGAAAGATAATAGATATTTCGACGATGTGACGATGTTCTTAAGAAAGCCATTTTCTCTGAATGATTAAAAAGTTCACAAGCATTTTTTTTTATTTCAATCAAATTTAATTTCAAAGCAATTATGTATTGAACAATAACAGTTCAACCCGGTCACACTGTATTGAGATTCTTCTTGAATATTTTTGTGGCACGTGGTAATAAGAGAGAAGTAATAAGAGATCTACAGAGTAGATCATTCAAATGATCACAGACACTATTGAGTAAAAGTTCTTTAGACACTACCTCACCTTTGATCAAGAAAAGAAGAATGAAATTTTATAGAGGGTTAAAAAAAATGGAAGGAACCGCATACTTAATATTTAATTGTATCTGTTGAACTAATTATAATATTATAAATATTTATTTGATAATACAATAAACCAACTTCCAAAATGCCATTAAAATATTTAAATCTCTTATATTGCAACTATAAATGAAAATTATTAATGAAAATTGGAATCACCGATTAAAGTAAATAAATCGAATTAATTGGTAAATTCACTTAAGTTTTGAACATTTTATTAAAGTATTTAAGTTTTATTCTGCTAACGTTTAATTAACTTCCTCATATATATTTTTATTCTTTAATTTGCATGTGTAGCTGTTGCTCGTGGCGCACAATGGTCTGGACGTCGTTGCTGTGCATTAGGCCTATCGCCACATTGTCGCAATGCCTGCGCCACATCAGGCTCAATCGATGAACTGATCAGTGCCGCCAAATGCCGACAAAGTGATGAACAACACATGTTCGCTTGTTTCGAACGCCAAGAGGCAGGCGATCGATGCTGCGGGAATGCGCGCACCTCCGAGTGTTTGCAGGTACATTTAATTTATTTTAAATACTATAAGCAAATTTGTCTACTGTCAAAAGTAATTAAAAAAATTAAAAAAAGGTGTGGCCTATTTGGCAAAAAAAATTATACTAAACAGTTAGAAAAATGAATGAGAAATGAGGAGGAGCTTAAAATAGCTTACGCAGATAGGTCAGATGGTTTGGATTAAAAAATGTAAAAATAAAAGCAAATTAAATTAGAAACTAAACAATCATATCGGTATTTCAATAAAATACAAAAAACTGTAGAAAATAATATATAATATAAAAATAAATACACACACAAACATATATAATATATAAAAATGTATATAACATGTTTCCAGGCCTGCCGAGAAATCTTTGAACCGTACTCCCCAAATAAACGCAAACATCGGCATCACATCGAGGAAATGTGTGACGATCGAAATAGTGATGTGTTGCAGTGCGTGCGAAATGTCACAGACATGACGCCAATGACAAATTCCCATCAATGTAAGTGTGCGATCAAATTACGCCTACGAATTCTCTAAAGGTTAATTAGAAAAATTTGACCTGAAAATGTTTCTGTCCCATTTTCTCCATATAATTCTCTGTTTTTAATTTCTATAGATCTACACTGCTGTGACTATTCGGAAGTTGAAAGTTGCCGACACACCTGCCGTGATGTTTTAAACACAACCGAGAGTAAAGACATAATTATTGGGGAATTACAAAATGGTGGCTGTGGCATGCCATTACCGCATTTACCACTATGGAAATGTTTCTTGACAGCACATTCACCAACTCCCACGTACACTGCAATAAATAAAATATCACAAATCAATCAAATTGGCATCGATTCAGCCAAATTACATTGCTGTGATAAAGCAACCACGCCCAAATGCAAACGTTTATGCTCAAAGACATACTCAACGGACTGGACCACATCCAGTAGTGTATTTGAAAACTCATGTCTGTTACAACCGAATGAATTGGAATTGCGTCAATGCATAGATGAAGTGGATGAGCCATGCGAATTGGGCTGTGATGGTCTCAGTTTTTGCACTAATTTTAACAATCGCCCAACAGAGTTATTTCGGAGCTGCAATGCAGAAGCAGATGCGGCGGCACGTTCCGATCTAAAAATGTGGCAACAAAGAGGTTTTGTTAGCTTACCAGGTGTGCATCTACCTATTAGAAATATGACACGTTGTGCACCACAAAAGTGGCAAGCAATCGCATGTGCCTTGCAGATTAAACCTTGCACGCGTACTGGATATAATCACATCTGTCGCGAAGATTGCAATGAGATTTTAAATGAGTGCATGGATTGGATAAAAATGAATTCAACACTTAATACAGAATTAATCTGTGCACGTTTAAATCCTGCCAAAGATGGACCTTGTATATCATTAAAACCTTACTTGGAAGAAAGTGATGCACCCAAAGATACAGGTGGTCATCATAGACTTACACAACCCTGTAGAGGACATCCTTGTAACGCGAGTGAAGTTTGTTTGTCGCAACGGAATGAAAGGAATGCCTTTACGTGTATATCCGGCTGTAGTTTAGGGGAGGCTTCTAATTATCTAGTGCCATTTGGTGCTTATGTGCGTATTCCCGTTTCTAACATAGGACGCTCTGGTTCTTTTAAAGTTTGTCGTTGTGGTGCTAAAGGTCAAATAGAACATTGTCAACCTTTGCCAAACTTTTCCTATGAAAACTGCGTATTGGGAGAGAAAGTTATTAAGCATGCTGAATCGTTTTATTTAGAATGTAATTTATGTAGCTGCTTTGCCGGAGAAATCACGTGTACGAAGAAGCAATGCAGATTTCCAGGTTAGTTACTTTAGTAAAGTTATTTTACTTTAATAGATTCTCATTAGCGGATTCTTTATCACTTCTTGAACTACACATAATAATTGTCGTTTTGCTATTCAGCTTACACTGATATATCTTATACAAGTCTACCATGCAATTGTCCCACACATCATGTACCTGTTTGCGGACGCAATGGCAATACCTACCATTCAGCTTGTATTGCCAAATGTCTCGGACTTAAAGATAGTGATTTTGAATATGGCGCTTGTTCTTCTTGGAATCCCTGCCAGAAGGGCAGTTATAGCTGTGCAGCAGGAATGCAATGCTTGGAACAACGCAATATATGCCTATCTTCCATGCATAGGCCATGCTTACAATACAAATGTGGTGAGTAAGATTATTGTAAATGATTTTGATTTTGTAATTGACGTTTTTACTTTTATAAATATATATATACCATATGAAACTATATAACTCTAATTTCTTTAAACAGTGAATCAAACTTCCAATTGTTCCAACATGGGCCAACCAGTTTGCGATACAAAAGGTGACACATATGCTTCCGCCTGCGATCTACTGAATGCAAAAGCACAACTCTCATACTGGGGCTCTTGTTTTCGAAGTTGTTCTACAAAGGGACCCGTGTGTGGCATCAATGGAGTGACATACGCTCATGAATGTGCTGCTTGGGCTGATTATATAGTTATCGATTATCGTAGCCGCTGTAGAGAAATTGGCCTACTGACACATGACATGGGTAGACGTTGTCGTACAATCAAATGCCCAAATCCACCTTCACCTTATTGTAAAGGAATTGTGCCACCAGGTGCGTGTTGTCCAATATGCGCCGGTGCATTTCGTGTCATCTACTCACGTAAACAAATTGATCGTGCCTTGTATGCTTTACGCGGACAAAGTAGAGAACTTCTGACTTTGCATAGTATACTAAGGGAAGTAGACAATTTAGTACAAGTAACAGAGTGCCAACTCACAGGCTACTTAACTATGGAAGTGGGTATTTTTATAGCTATACTACCGCGTACCAATAGTCCAACACGAATACAAATTGAGGCATGCACTCGTGAAGCAGAGAAGATTTCTGCACTCATTGAAACACAGTCTCATAAAATTACAACAAATCTAGTGCTTTC